CGGCGGCGTGGCCTCCCCGCGGCCGGTCCGGCCTCGCTTCTTGAGGGCAGGCGTCAGGATCTTCTTGGACTCGGGGCTGAGGCCACCTACGAGGCAGAAAGAGGAGATGCTGCCACTGCATGGTCGCTTGGGCTCTGAGGACGCATGGCCTCCAGTCCAGCTCCACGACCCCACACCTCAGTTTCCAGGACCCCTGCGGCATCCTCAGTCTCTTCCCCCAAATGCACCCATAGGGTCTCCGCTCTGACCACTCAGGGTCCAGGCCTGTGGGGGCCGCCCTCCCAGCCCTGAAACTGGACATTTAGGGCTCCCAGGTCTATGCCTGTGCTTGGGAGACGGGCCCCCACAGCCCCACTCTGACCCGGCCTACGGGAGCCCAGCGGTCAGAGGTGGGAGGAGCAGAAGGGTGTCTGCAGGGCTCCTGGGCTCTCCTCCACTCTGGCAGATGCTGCCACTGCCCAGGCTGGGCTGGGAGTGGCCCCTACTGTCCTACCACCCGTGGCTCCTGCCCAGCCCCCATGCCTGTGCAGAGCACAGACTGCCCAACCACCTCCCAGACACCAGGGTGGGACCAGCTTCCGCTGACGCCCTCCTTGGACCCTGCCCAGCTCCCTGGTCCCCGCAGGTCTGCCGGGCCATGCGAACCCCTCCACGCCGCTGCTGCCCGGCACGCTCCCCCCCTGCACAGGAGCAGAACCTCTCGGCCTGCAATGTGGACTCGACAGCCCCCTCCGCGGCTCGCTTTTTCTTGAAGGACCTGACAACTCGCGCCTCAGTGTGACTCGACGTTCTGCACGCCTGGGATGCGGTGCGCCCACTGCCTCACGTTTCCGTCATGAAAACATTTGCAGTCTACTCTCCAACAATTCAGAGAGATTTCCAGAGAACATGTGTGCTTGCAGAGGATGGTGGGGACCGGGAGCTCCCCATGGGGGGCCGTGCTGCAGTCCTGCCTCCCGCACCTCTCCCTCGTTGGGATTCTGGCTCACATTCACATGCACCTGCGGGGTCCAGGACTCAGACGGCACAGCAGGCCACGTGGGATCCAGCTGCCTTAGCCACCATGCTACAGGTGGGCCCAGCCCCTCCAACTTTGAATTTGCCAGAGAGAGCAAGAGAGAGAAAGTGCGAAGGCACCCTCCCTGGGCACAGCCGCACCGGGGTGGACGCGCACGCATGTGCACCCAGCCTGTTTCTTTTTTTTTTTTTTTTGGAGAGGTTTTTGCTATAGGGCGCGTGCACTCACCAGAAAGACAGAGAGACAGAGAGACAGAACGCGAGAAATCTCTCCCGGGGGGATGGCCACGCCGCGATCCCTTCTCCTCCATTCTCCTCTTGGGATCTTGGGCATGCACGCACACGCGCCCGGCGTGAGTTTAAGCCACTGGGGTCAACTACATGGGAGTCCAGTGACATAGCCATTACGCTAACTGCTGGTCCTGCACCCAGCATGTTTCTTAAGCCACAGGGTCCAGGACTTAAACTGTGCAGCCAGTCACGTGGGGTTACCCTCCACTGGTCTTGCTGCACCCCACCCCCTCCCGTCACTAGAGCAGTGCTCACAGGGGGAGACCGTGAACACGCCTCTCTACTCCACCGCTCAGTCAAGGTTTCGGCCACACACTAAGTGCCAGCATGGTTTCCAGCCGCTGGAGCCAGGATCCAGACCGCAGGCGGCTACGTGGACCCAGGCCCGTGTACAACACCAACCACTGTGCGATGGGCCAGCCCGCTCTGGGCAGCTTTCCGGCCTGCCCCACAGTATTAATCGCTAATTCCAGCTGCCACCCCAGCACAGGTATGTCCCAGCTTCTCTCCTCACCTCGCCCAGGCCGGGCCACCACCCCTCTCTCTGCCTGACCCCGGATGCCACCAGAGCGGGAACTGAGGTGTGCGTGTTGCAGGAGGGTATCGAGGGCAGCCGCTGCGTAGTCTGGGCAGGCGGGGCAGGGCCCGTGCCCTGAGCTCCCGGGGCTGTGGGAGGCAGCACCTGGCCGAGCCGTCAGCCTGGCCCCATAGCCCTGCCGGGGTCCTGGCAAGCTAGCAGGGCTTGGCCTGGGGCAGGGCGGCTGTCTGCATGTCCCAGAGGGCAGCAGGAGGCCGGGTGAGCACGGAAAACCCCACCGTCACAGCCCAGCTCCCGGCAGCCCCCCAACCCCTTGGCCTTGCTTGGGGTGGGGGCTCCCCGGGAAGAAGCAGGCTGCGGGGCGGCCGCCCTGCGTCACAGGTCACAGGCTGAGGGCCATGGCTGCAGCACGGATGTTGGGCAATGCTGAGGCTGGACGGAGGGGCTACCGCCAGGGGCGGCCTGCTCTGCCTGTCCCTGGGCCATCTTTGGCTGGGATGCGGGACGCAGGCCGAGAGGGGACACGCCCCACGTAGAGGCTGGGGCGGGGAGTGGGGAGGGCGGGGGCCAGCTCCCGTCAGTCCCAGGCCCGCGCTATCAGTCTGGAATCAGGGCCTGGCCTCCCTGCAAACAGAGAAGGTGGCTGGCACCAGACTGGCCGACAGCCCACAGGCCGGCTCCCTCTGGTGCCAGGGGGTCTGACGGCTGGAGGTGTGGGGCTCCCCGGCACCCGTCTTCAGGCGGGGAGACAGGCGTGGCCCCGTCGGCAGTCCATCTTGCCCGAGCTCTGGTTACACACGTGTCCCTCGCGCTGCCCGAGTGGGCAGGACGCTGTCGGGCACTGAGAACAAGGTGGCCCTGAGGTCTCTTCTGAGACGGCCGCTAGTTCGCATACGGGAACCACCCAGGCTGCGGCTGTTTGTGGGGAGGGCCAGCAGGAGCCGCTGCCACGCTGTGGCTATTTCAGCCTGCCCTGGCCATGTCCTGGGACCGCGCAGATGGGGCACCTGGGGACAGGCAGCAGGGCCTGGCTCCCATGGGTCTCACTAGTCGGAGAAGGGGGAGGTGGGGTTCCCCACAGCACAGACCTGAGCCAGACAGCTGGGCCCGGCCCCTGGCCCTGTGGAAGTTGGCCAAGGAGCCGTTTCAAGTGCCATGCTCGTGGGCAGCAGTGCACGGCTGCCCGCTGCTGGGTGCCAGGCCAGGCTGCAGGGTGACTGCAGCTTCCCGGGAACAAGGCACCTGTGCACAGGCTGGGGGCTGGCAGGCAGGCAGTGGTGCCGCCCCGCTGCCCCCCACTGGCCTGTGGCTCTGCCTCACCTCCTGCTGTTCTCGAACCCCAGGGCTGCCCCTCCAGTCCCAGCAGCTCCCAGCCACCTCCTGCGAGTCACTGCACAGTGTCACCTCTGGCAAGGCCTCAGGTCACCGTTTGAGACTGTGCACCTTGTCCCCTTGTGACTCACCCTGGGTGCTCACCCTTGCCTGTCTGGAACTGCTCGCCTGTCCACTGCTGTGGCCTAACCCCGGGTGTGCTGGCAGAGTCAGCGTGGGGGGCCCGCCCAGTGGGGCAGGCTTCCCGGACAGCAGGGACACGTGAGCCAGGCGACGCCTGCCAGGACTCGATCCGCGAGCAGCCTGGGCGCAGTAGCCCTGTGACGTCACGGCCTCAGGAAGGGCCCGTCCTGGGAGCCGGGGCTCGTGCTCCCGGGCTCGCCACAGGCACCTGCACCACGGGCCAGGGCAGTGAGGGCAGGCGGCACCGTCGGCGCCACGCAGGCCACAGTGCCCCGCTGCATAGACAGGTGGGGTAGGTGGATGCAGAACACGTAGCTCAGAGCTGCCAGTGGGCCAGGAAGGACGGGGTGCAGTACAGCCGGGTGTAGTGGCCACGTCGGCAGTCTGTCTTGCCCGAGCTCTGGGGCCTCACGTCCTGAGCTGCTGCACCGAGCAGGGAGGGCTGGGCCCCTTCGCCCCCTTGCCTCCACCTACTCCCCGACACTTGCTGTCCCTCCTTACCCAGGCCCCCAGGCATGGGTCCCCGCAAGAGGGGTCTCCCCCACATGGCGTTCCTGCCCTCTGGGCCCCCCATGGCCCATGCCGCAGCTGTGAGCACCCAAACGGCCCAGGTCATCGGGGAGGAGCAGGTCGGCCACTGCCACCCACATGCTGGGCCACGCCCTACCTGGCAGGGCCTCCCACCCCACACCTCGGATTCTCGGAGCCTGCTGCTCAGTCCCGATGAGCCCAGGGCCCCGAATCCACAGGTAGCGTGAAACCCTGGGGGATGTGGCCCATCTCTCTGGCCTCTTTTGGGACTCCCAGGGTGGGCTGGCCCTCCCTCACAGAAAGGCACAGAGGCTGTGAGCTGTTACACTGGGAGCTCTGGGCGGGGCAGAGACCAGGCAGGGAGGGCCTGGCACCGAGGCTCCTTGGGGTCAGCGCCCCACGGATGGCGTTCGGAAGGGAGCATGGTGAGTCCGGGCCTGGGCTGAGGCTGCCGTGTGGGTGGCCAGGGCGGTGCTGCAGGCCCGTCTGCACTGTGCCGGACCAGGTACCTGGGCTGCCGGGGAGGCAGTGTCCCCTGGGCCATAGGGCCAAGGCCCCACTCTGACAGGGCACCACAGTGTCGGGTCCTGGCCCACTCACACGTGGGAAGCAGTGGGCGGCCAGGAGTCCGCACGCCCTTGGAGCCCACCGAGGTCGACGGCAGACCTGCCAGGAGGCCCGAACTGCTGCACGAGAGGCTCATACTGACCCCACCTCGGGCAAGTCCTGAGGCCAGTGGGCTGTGATGACCTGGTATTGGCCCACGGAGTGGATCTGAGTTTGCACGGGCCCAGGCGTGGGGGACCAGCAGGTGAGGACTTGGCTCTGTCGGATCCGCCCCGACCCGTGACTCGGCAGAAGACAGGACCGCCAGGCAGGCGGTGTCTGCTGTCAGCCAGGGCAGCCTGGTGTCCGGCTGGAGGCTGGAGGGGCGGGACCCACAGGCCACTTGCCCCCCTGCCAAGGGCCCTGCGCCTGCCTGTGCTGGCCGTCCTCGGTGTCTCCCCTCCGGAGTAAGGCTTCTGCGCTGTGCCGTGGATGCCGGCTCCTGGCCCTCCCCACCCGCTATAGCTCCTGTATGTAAACAGAGATGCAATTTGCTTTACAAGATAAGGCGATTAGGTTTTTATCAGACCTGCACTCCGCTGTCCCCGCAACAAAAGGAATTAGGAGGAGGCGGCGACTGACGGGCCT